TTTCTTAAGAAAGTACTTGGCACAAGTATTACATATGTGAAGAATAAAAACGCTAACCCTAACCTTTCAAACGTTATGGCCAAGGTTAAAGTTTTTTAAATGTATACGTCAAACTTCAAGGTCAAAGGGTCAAAGTTCTTGGTATCCAATGAAAGGTCTTGCCACAAAGAATACATATGTGAAATATGAAAGTCCTAGTATCTACCTTCAAAAGTTGTGACCAAGGTTAACGTTTTTAGAAAGTAGTTAAAACTCCAAGGTCAAGGTCAAAGGGTCAAAGTTCTTGGTATCCAATGAAAGGTCTTCTCACAAGAATTACATATATGAAGTATAAAAGCCCTAGCCCTTACCATTCAAAAGTTATGGTCAAGGTTATTTTTTTTACAAGTACGGAAATCTCCAAGGTCAAAAGGTCAAAGTTGTTGGTATCCAATGAAAGGTCTTGCCACAAAGAATACATATGTGAAATATGAAAGACCTAGTGTGTACCATTCAAAAGTTATGGCCAAAGTAAAAGTTTGGGAGATTTGTGTAAAAGTGGGTCAAACTCCAAGGTCAAAAGGTCAAATTTGGTGGTACCCACAGAAAGGTCTTATCACAAGGACTACACATGTGAAATATGAAAGCGAAAGTAAAGAGATCACCCGTGGGTTTCCGACGATGGCGAAAGCGGGGGACAATAAACATGTGAAATATGAAAGTCATAGCTCCACTAAATCAAAAGTTATGGGCAAGGTTAAAGTTTTTGTGACGGACGGACAGACGGACAATAATGAACCTTACAAAGATAATGTATTGATAAAGTAATCTATTTAATTCTTTTTTCACTTCTAGATGTTGAATACAGAAGGATAAATGGTTTTCACATTGCCCCTGAATCTTTTAATAAGCGATAGTAACATTGATACGACACATTTAATCCACTCTGACAAAGTGTCAAAGTTTGGTGCGAATATGATGTAGACCTAACTGTTGATTTACATACAGTAGTATTGAATCAAAAGAAACATCGTGTATGAAAGCCGATGCCCATGACTACTTCTACGTCTCCGTGTATGGTTAAAAAGTCCCATTACGTTTAGATTGTTACACAGTGGACTGGAAAGATTTCCAACACTATCAACATTATCATTTAATCCATAGGGAAAGACTTTCCCAAGTTTTCTAATCCAAAATTCTTCTCGTTGTCAACGGAAATGTGTGCTCAGTGGAGGATTATTGCGAAAATGGCTATATGTTCAAATTACTTGCCAGATTTCCAGTCGGGATTACAATTCGGTAAATTGGGTTTATCGAATTCCAAGTCAAGAGTAGCCACATCTGAGCGTACAGTTTTAATTATTGATGGGCTATTGTTTCATTTCCGTATTCTTTACAAACTCCGTGCGTTTCATCAAAGATGTGTCATTATTTTGTTCATTTCATAGAAATTTCAAAATGAATTACAATTCGGTCATTTTTATGCCGGATCCGAGTGAATAAAGTGGCTCAAATCAGTTACCGGTATTTGAAATGCGGTTACCTTGTCGTAGTGGTTTCTGCAATAAATTTGGACATTATGGGCTTCTCCAGAACTCCATACTGCAAATAACAAGCCTAGGTTTGCTCATATGAATAGTAATATTTCCAACACTATCGACATTATCATTTGATCCATAGGGAAAGACTTTCCCAAGTTTTCTAATCCAAAATTCTTTCAAGCCGTTTTTTGGAATGGTATATGACCATCGTTAATCTTGTATATTATACTTTCATGTAAATTACTTGATTCTGATTCGTCGAGGAACATTTGATAAAAACACTACTACCCGCTGAATAATGAAGCCACACCCTCCTGCGTAGCAACAGTCAACATTGCTTGACGACGGGTGGTATTCAAAAAAATAGCGACTGCGCGAAATTTATGCGCGCACAGTTCACTGTAATATGTATTTGTATAAAACATTCAGTATAATATAATAAATATTGCATGTAGTTGAGTGTAACATTGAAAATTTTCACCCCTCGAAAACCATTGTCAACCTCGGCTGCGCCTCGGTTGACAATGGTTTTCTTGGGGTGAAAATTTTCAATGTTACACTCAACTACATGCAATATTTATATAATATTCTAGAAGAATTATTTGTCAATGGAAAGGTGTGCTGTGAAGGACTGTTGGTATGATGGTAAAACTTTTCTAGAATTCTAACTTTCATTGACCAAATAAAATTATCAGGTTAATTAAAATGCTTGTATAAAAGCTGCTGGCCCCCATTGTTTATTTGAAATCTATGAACTGATATTTTTAGTATTTTATCAAGTGATCGATGGTTTCACCACCATAAATAAGTCCACACATATTACGTTCTAAATTAGAAGACTCGCGGGTTCAGATTTTCCCAAGTTTTGGTATAAGAGCTCTGTTCAGTAAGATTACCAGTGAATGAGAGTTAGTTATCAAAATGTCATAGGTTTTACAGGGTTTTTTTTCAGAACATTTTGAAATAGATCACATGGGATCCGAAAAGGAATCTTCAAATATATCTGTAATAGAAACCTTGCATTCTTTCAATTTTTTTGTATAAAGTTTTGGTTTTATACCAAAATTGGGATCTGAAGACTCAACATGTAGAAACCTTGCATTTTTTCAATTTTTTGTACAAAATTTTGGTTTTATACCAAAACTGGGATCTGAAAACTCAACATGTGACACATGTTTAATATCCCTGAGGGTTATCCGAGGGACACCAAACGAACTCCTTGAATCTGTGTCCCCTATAGACTCAAAGGAGTGACGCCTTTTTACGAGTAAAACTGGTTGACCAATTTTTTTTTCGTTGACAAAATTGTTAATGGATTATTGCGAAAATGGCTATACGTTCAGATTACTTGTCAGATTTCCAGTCGGGATTGCAATTCGGTACATGTAAATCGGGTTTATCGAATTCCAAGTCAAGAGTAGCCGCATCTGAACGTACAGTTTTAATTATTGATGGGCTATTGTTTCATTTCCGTATTCTTTACAAACCCCGTGCGTTTCATCAAAGATGTATCATTATTTTGTTCATTTCATTTTCAATAATTTTCTATATGAATTACAATTCGGTCATTATATGCCGGATCCGAATAAATAAAGTGACTCAAATTAGTCTTCTTGGTTTCTACAATAAACCCAACGTAATTTAGACATTATGGACTTCTCCAGACCTTCATACTGCAAATAACATGGTCTAAGTTTGCTCAGATGAATAGTAATGTTTATTTCAAAAGAAACAACAAAGAAAGAATAACAAAGAGAGAGAGAGGGGGGTGGGAGGGAAAAGGGAATGCACGAATTACAGAACCAGAATTGACTCTTCCCAAGGTGCAATGCAAAAGATATGTTCGTTTAGGGGAACATATTGTTTTTACTCTGTTTCTTCTTATTATTATTTACCTTTGAATTGTGACAACATCTTTCCATCAGTATAAATATTTTTTGACCTAGGAGTTTGACTTGCATTTATAAAAACTTTAACCTTCGCAAAAAGCTGCTATATAGGGGAGGGTCATCATTATTTTACAAACACCTACTGTTTTCCTTTATGAAAGGTCACAACAAATCAAACTGAATATTCGTTGGCCTCAACACAGGAAAGTTCAGAAGACAATCTCAGTTCTTTTCAAACCACATGCGTACTGGCCATGAGGTGGGGCAAAAAAAAAGAAGAAATTTCAAACCGTTTTTGGAAAGGTATACGACAGACATGGCTAATCATATGCTAGAATCTTGAATTATTTTGGCTACGTATAGGCGTAATTACGTAAAGTTTTGTTTACGCTCTCATTTGAATAATGCATAAATTATCCGCAACAGCTGCTCAAATAATTTTCTTTGAAAATGAGAATTCTGGCATCATTTGTGGTTTAAAAAAAGATATTTCCATCCCTAGTTAAATATAACCGGACACTTAATCGTCTTGGTGATGACTAGACAGTCCTAAAAATAATACAAATGTACGAAGGTAAATTTACAGTTCAATAAATTCGCTGTTGTTTGAATATTGAAAGGAGTGTTAAGATATGTTATGAAGTTGGGGCAGGTGGATGAAATTTATTGTGAGAGGGGAAAATAACCCCTCTTAAATACCTCCTGAATGCAAGAATTTTTCAAAAGATCAGTCTGGTTGAAAAAAAAAAATTGTGTGGAAATTTAAATGTAAAATAAAAGAAGATTAAATTAAAACGATGTCAATAATGAATTGCAGTGCATTTAAACGTACCTAGCGTTTGAGAGCACACTGCTTCTTCATATCATAGTAAGTATGAAAACATTTTTCAGGCAATTTAAGTTAACATTTTTTGTATCTGTATAGTTGTCACTTCAAATTAACTATACAGAAATGACGAGAATGCTGCATATTTTAAATGTTTTCTATATCTTTCCATTGCAATCGTATTTTGAACAATCGGTTCATGTAAACATGATAATTGATGACAAATTGTTAACTTAATTAATATTAATTATATACCCCGGTGATGTGTTCCAATCTCCGACCTTTTAACGAAAAATCATGATGCATAACAAATAATGTTTCTGACAAAAAAAAATGATCCGGGAATTAACTCGTTATATATTCCAACGATTTATTCTCCGTTTGCATTCGGACTGAACAATGTAAACGAAATGTTATCAACTGGTAAGAAATTAAATTTGCAAAAATTGCATATAATTCTTAATTCTATTTTCTTATATTAAATTAGTTGTTTCTTAATGTGTTTAACTTTTTATTATCATTTTTTTTTTTAAAGCATTTCACTTTTTTTCAATTTGTGTAAAGTGTCATGAATCAAAGGACGTACATGTGCAAAATTAAACGTCTAAAGTACACGCATGTAAGCATGCTTTAATCTGCAGGATTTAATTCATAACTGTTTTTAAAAAAAAACAGGAAACGCATACCGGCATATGTACATTTCTTTTAAAGTTTTTAACGTTACTTTTTACAGGTTGGCGTCATTATTGCGTATTAAAAATGCTTTTTATGGCGATTGCGTTGGTGCTGGTAATTGGAAAATCAAATGCAATTACCGAAATACTTTGTTCTTTCAATTACACTCCTAAATCAAATGCCACTACCGATATATTTAGTTCTTGCATTTACAATGACAAGGGGTTCGTTCTGGAAATTAACTGTGAGGTGCGTTCTGAGTGGAGATTTTCAGAATTCCGCCAGTGGACCCTGTCACAGAGCCACCCAGCGATACATTTGAATATTGCATGTAAAGGTGGACAACTCGTACTCACCCATCCAATAAATGCCAGGAATCTGACAGAACTACGAATAAAAGATTGTCTTAAAATAGAGGGGATATTTTCAAAGTTTGAAGAACAAGTTCTGAGAAATGCTGATGCCACTGAGGACACCAACATGACATTACGAGTTTTGGAAATTACAAATTCTTCGTACTTGTACGATACCAAAAGCATTCTTCAGCATTCAGATTGGTTACAGAGACTTTACGGCTGCGTGACCTTCTTTCCTCGAGGACTTCGTGTCTTAAAACAGAGTAAAACAAGTTTTGAAGGCGATTTTGACGGATTTCAAGACTTACCTGTCGGAAATACCTGTGATTACAACGAATTGGAAGTGTACGAAAAGTCTGTTTTTCAGTCGAAGTTGTCCTTTTTATACGAAAATTCGGAGAATGAAATATTTTATTTTCTACGTTTTGGAAAGTTTAAGAACTTGCGTATTGCAAATTTCTCAAACGCGAATTTACACTTTATACCAACCCACTTTACAGAGTACAACTGGTTTCGACGATTTGAATCCATCGAAATAATTGATCTTTCGTATAACAGAATAAAAGAAATCCCATATCTAAGGAATCCACACCATAGCGGTGTAAAAATCATTTTACATCACAACAACATTTCCAAAATCACTATGACCTTGTTAGACAAACTAAGACATGCTAATGACATACTAATTGATTTTTCTAAGAACATATTTTCTTGCACCTGCGAGAACGATCATGAAGAAATACTTCGCTTTGTCAAGAACAAGTTCGAAGAAAAATGGGCAAAGCCTTATCGATTTCTTGCAAACGAAACTTGCTCATTTCCATCGACTTTACAAGGGATGACATTCAAATCTCTTGACGCTAAACTTCTCTGTCCAGAAATATCCGAATACCCTAATATGACCTTCAAATCCCTTGACGCCGAGCTTCTCTGTCCAGAATACCCGAATATCTCGTTCATCATTCTGATTGTTCTGGCAGTTTTCGCCCTTATTTGTATTGTCATTATGTTTAGGAGGGAAATCAAAATGTTGTCCTACACGAGACTTGGGATCCGCCTCTGGAGACAAAAAAGAAGTGCCAATATTCGATTAAAGGAGTACGACGCCTTCATATCCTATAGTACATTGGATGAGAGTTGGGTCTTGGGAACTCTTTGTAAGCGCTTGGAAAAACTTAGGCTTTGTCTTCACCATAAACACTTTGTTCTTGGGGCCTGTATATCGGACAACATCATTGAAAGTGTTGAGAAAAGCAGACACACGATAATTGTGTTGTCCGAAAATTTTCTGCAGAGCGAGTGGTGCCTATTGGAATTCCGAAAAGCTTTTCATCAGACGCTCCTGGAAAGATCGAAACGCCATTTAATTGTTATTCTGATGAACAATCTTAAAATTGATACTCTTGAACCGGAAATGAAGCATTTCTTACAAACTCATACCTACCTTAAACTAAATGACTTCTTGTTTTGGGATCGTCTTATTTACGCTGTTTCGGACGCAAAGTTTCAATCATCCGAAAAACGGAGGCAATTTGGAAAAGAAAATTCCTTGTCTGTAGACAAACTGGAGGTCGATCCTCTAAAATCAGAATCTGTAGTCACAGTTGATTATAGCAACTAAGGGACAATAAATAGTGTTAGCAACTTTACAAACTTATGTACATACACAGATTGATAGACTGCACCATACTGCTATTTACAGACCATTGCATTAGAAGTAGCTATTAGGTTTTCTTTGTTGTTTGCCTATAGAAATTTATCATTAACTGTATACTATAGAAGTACGTTTTTCCGCGAGGTATTAATTTACGCTATGTACGCGGTCACAAATTTTCCGCGGAAATTTGTCCAAGTGTACTTATAAATGCAAAGCATATAGTGACAGTCTGAGAAATCCGCGTAATTTTCAACCTGCGGATTAAATGGAAATTGAGATTCCGCGGAATTATGACCCTGTGGGAAAAAGTACGTCTACAGTATCTCAAGAATCTTAGGTGAAATAGCTACGGTGAAAATAAGATTGCATAATTGATGGTATGTTGTTTTTCATTTTATTCGAAATTTTTCAATTAATTAGACATTGCGATCTGAGATATTTTTTTATATTATACTTTCATGTAAATTACTTGAATCTGATCCGCCACCCTGTTTTCAGAAAAACATTTTTATAAAAAACACTACTACCCGCTTAATAATGAAACCACGCCCTCCTGCGTAGCAACAGTCAACATTGCTTGACGACGGGTGGTATAATAATTTTGTTTTCAAAAAAAATAGCGACTGCGCGGAAAGCGGTTGTTTATGCGCGCACGGTTTACTTTAATATGTATTTGTATAAAACATTAACAATATAATATAATAAATATTTTACATACTATCATATATCACGTTGAGTGTAAGCATGTTTTTTTTTTTCAAATCATTTTCATGCATACACATTTACTTGTCTTTATTTCATAAATGCACATTTTGTTTTAGCGAAATGGTACATTAAAAAAATTACTTGAAGTATTTTCAATCAGAAATATGATATACATGTATATGTTTTCTTAGAAACGCTAAATGGTATTTCTAAAATTTTCAATGTTACACTCAATGATTTCTAAATACAAAAGGTGCAATATTTATATAATGATTACTTTCTATCTATTTGAAGATTATGCTCATTCTATATCTGTCTCTTGATGTTTATGTAAAAAGTAATTTGTATCATGATACCGGTATCTTACCCAAAGACAATGGAAAACAAATAATAAATTACATTCTTTAATTTTCAAAGTTATGCTCTTTCATTACTTGAATTGGATTTCTCTTTTCTCTACTTTGTCCTGCAAATATCAGTAGAATTGGATTACAATAAGCATCAGTTATAGGATAATAGTGCATGCATAAAAATTCTTCATTGAGAAATAAACCTAAAACTAAAGGCTTTGTTTGTACTAAGCTCTCTAAATGATATCCCGCCTCCCATACAAGTCTATAATGGCACAGTCCATGTTCTGCTCTTGGAGACCCGAAATAAATGTTAGATCAAAACGTAAAATAAAAGGTTACACTGGCATTATGTGATTAAAAATCTATGAAAGTATCATTCAATTTTATTCAGTGGTATAGTAGGAATTGCGGAAAAGAAATGGATACCCTTCAATATTGTAGTGAGAATGGCAGTCTCCGTGTTTTGCTAAGGGATACCCAAGACATGTTTCCGATCAAAAAGTAAAATAAGGGGTACAAAGGGTGTCAGAGATTCTGTGAAAGTCTCATCTAATTTCATTCTGTGGTATAAGAGGAGTTGTGGATGAAAGTTTGGTGCTCCATATCGTAACAAACGGACAGACGGACAGACACTCCCGTCAATATATACCCCCTCCCCTGCTTTTGATAAAAATAGACTTACACATTAGTCTCCTATTGGTGAAGCCGGAGGATAAAAATACTGTCTGTCCGTCACTTCACACATGTTTCCTAGTCTCCTATCTGGGATCATCAAAATGAAACCAGACTCAGTACAGAGCTCCTCTTTGAGGAAAACAAGGTGGGTGCTGGAACTTTCAGAACAGGCTGTAAATAAATTTGAAATGCTTCACAAAGCTACCTGTTCCTTTTATCTGATGATGTAATGAAAAAGTATTTTATACACGAAGCAAGTAATCAAAGTAATTTTAAATATTTTGCAATGTTTGATTTTAGAACTTGGTGTTCAAAGTCTGGCACAAGCCTAGCACCTGCGGGTTTGTCAGTCTGTCCCACTTGGTTTTCGCAATTTTTTTCTAAACGCTTGCAGATATTTAGCTGATTTTTTAATTTATTTTGATGAGTTTAAGATCAAGTTTACATTTTGTTCCACTTCATTAATCAATGATTTTTTTTTTGTAAAATTACAGCCTTTTAAATTTCTAATGGAAACCAGCTTACACTTGCCGGTAGGGGACTAGTATTGATAATGCTAACACGCGTTGCTCAGTTTGTTTGCACATACCATTGCAGTTATGAGATTATGTCTTTCAAAAAATAATGATCCGTTGGATAAATAAACCTGATTTTTATGAGACTGTCTCAAATTCCTGTGAATTGATTTTATGAAAACCCTTAAACGTCGCTGAAATTATAAATTTTACCGTCGGACAGAATATTTGTATCAAAAATATGGTCAAGTTTTGAATCTAAAAAAACCCGAAACAGGAAATGGGACTTGGAATTTTTAAAAAGTAAATTATTTTTGATCACCTGAGCCAAAGAGAGACTTGTGATGTTTTATAGACAAATTTAAAACCAAACTCGCCATAAAGCATATCTATTTATGGCATAGGCGTCGGAACCGGGGAGGGGGCTATAGGGGGGCTGACCCCCCCCCCCCACACACACACACACACAAATTTTTGCAAATATATACAAAATATAGGCATTGGACATTGGTTTTTTTTCCCTTTTTTTTGTTGGTTTAGCCCCCCTTTTCAATTAGCCCCTCCACTTTCAATTTGCTTCCGACGCCTATGTATGGTGTAAGGGATTCCATTTAAATCATATTAAAGATCATAACCTTTTCAAGAGGAAACAATATTGATGAGTAGAAATGAATAGTAGCAAAATTAATCAAATAAAATTACCGGTATACTTTGATAGAAATTAAAGGTTCAAAGTCTGTTTCTTAAGAAAAATGATGCAGTGAAATTCGTTAGCTACAGAAATTTGGTCATCCATCTCAATTTTTCATACCAGCGAGCTAAGCTATGAAATTTACATAATTGTGCAAATATTTCAGCTTCTTTTAGGCGGGCCTACTCTCACCTTTTAGGATAGGGCCATTATACAATGCAAAACAAAACAAAATTCTGAATTGTTTTAGATGAAAATCCAATAAATTTGCCCAAACATTATGAGGTATTAAAAATCGATCTTCTCTTTATTTTGTGATTATGAGTTTATCTTTGACGACCAATGGATAATAACATGAACAAAACGTTGTAAAACAATGGAATGATGTTCCGCAATTTTTATAAATATTTTGAATATTTATGCCGATCTTTTCATGCACAAGCTGTCAGTCGCGCTTTGCAGTTGTTCAAATTACTAGTATTCAATTTTTTTTATTCTATTGTTCTTTCAAATTTGCTAAAAGCGTTATAATAAAAATAAATAATGAAAGACATTTTTCAGTTCGATCTAAGAAAATTCAGCTTTATAGGAAACAAAACAATGTATTTAGAATGATCAAAGACAAAATTTCATCATGTCATAAATATTTTTTCCTTTTTATTCCTATTGAAGGTCTTATGATAAATAAAGTTACGGTTTTAATTTTTAAGTTCCTCGATCATTTTAATTAAAAGGAAATAAAAGAATTGCCACTCTGGATATAATAATGCTCGGATAAAAATGTTTTGAAAGGCACAATAAATTACGAAATGATGCATAATTTTCTCCGCTCAGTTGCTTTGCAACTCAAAGAAAATCAAGTTTTTCAAAATTGTTACAATTCACAAACAATTGTTCAACGATTTATTGAATTTATAACAGTAACACTATTTATTGAATTTATAACAGTAACACTAACTTCCATAACAGAAACCTTCTTGCAACATGTATGCGTTAATATTCTTACTGATTTCAGATTTCATTACTTATCTATATACTAGTAATGCACTTGATTTCATTTGACGATCGGAATTTACCTTCAAGGGCATAGAATTATGGCAATAAAAATGACCATAACTCCAAGATCATACCAGAATAACCAATACGGGTGCTGACTTCTTTAATAATTGATCAGAGATGAGCAAACCCTTGGTCATTACACCAAAGTACGTTCGAAATTGAATATCTAGATCAGATATGAGGTCACTAAAATTTGATGTTTATTCATTTCATTCTTCGTTATTGAAATAATGCGGAAACAATTTGATGAATTTGTATCCTCCACAACAATTCATGGGGTCAACAAAGCCGGGGATTTTAGTTTATCAAGAAGAAGGTATAATATTATATGTTGTTGTTTTTTTCATATATGGCATGTATGTATTGGACGTATGTTTGTACCACTGAAAGATTGGCAATGGTTGATAAGGATTTTAGTTTTACCAGACTATAGACGGATTTCAGGGGTTTTGTGACGAAATCAATCTTGGTAAATACTGTATTAGTACGGTAAAAAATTAATTCTTTGTAAAACCTTTATATCAAATAACCTAGTAGCTGCAGCTTATATCCTAATGCATGTACATGTATTTCTAAAAACAGAGTTTTATACCATCCATCTCCACCCCCGCTTGAAAAGTATATAGTAATCGGGATGGCCGTCCCTCTGTTAAACTTTGGGGTACCTTTCTCTTATCCGCAACTCCTCTCATGCCTATGGATGAAATTTGATGAGACTTTCACAGGTTTTTTTATTACATATTGCCATTGTGTTGTGCACCTCCTAGTTTACTTTTTGATCCGACACATATTTTGGGTTTATCATAGCAAGACATGGACACTGCCATAATGATCATATGGGAGGCGAGGAGTATCATTGTTCACTGTGCCTCTAGTTTTTTTTTTTTTTTTTTTTTTTTTTTTTTTTGTTTTTTTTTTTTTGTTTTTTTTTTGTTTTGTTTTGTTTTTTTTTTTTTATTTCGAACGAAGTATTTGATCAAATAAGTAATAAGTTTTTGCATTCATATATTTTTAATGAGATATGAAAATAATTATCAATGACCATCCCTTAAAGGTCCATTTTATAAGCAGAGCCCACACGGGCTGAAATCAGAGTTAAGGTGACCTGTCATGGAAGAGTAAGCACCTCTTTTCGTGCACTCCTTGTCATGACCGCAAGAACGGAAAAATCCGCAATCAATTCAAGCTGGATTGATTGTTGATTGTATGTTGTTGAACGTCCCTCTCGAAAAATTTTCACTCATATTGAGACTCCACCATTTGCCGGTGGAGAGATCTACAAATTTTGTCCTATATTCGGCACTTAGGGCCATTGAGCAGTGAGGGATCTTTTTCATGCCAGCACCTACTGCGACACGGGACCTCGGAGTACGCGTTCTAATCCGAAGGTCCATATTCAAGCTGGAGGTTATGGCTTCGCAATTTGAATGACAGACGTCCGTCAACATGCATATATGCAATCCTAGGCCTCTTATAATGTTTTTTAAATAGGGTCATAGTTTCGAGCCTGGAGTTTACGAAATGTTGACTTTAAAGGGGGATGTTGATATCCTTGTATATCAACTTATGTGTCAATAGCTTGCCTCGTTTTAGAAATTGTTCGAATGTAGAACATGCTCTTGCATATTGAATCAACTATGGGATACTAATTTGAACTCCATATGCAGGTAATAATCGCCGGTATATTGCAACAAAAATAAATGAAGTTAACAATAGAAGTTGAATTTATCACGTTTTTCATGAAATTTAGTTTATTGTCAGTTTGTCATTAACGTTGCTCTTTAGTTAATTGTCCAATAAACAATTTTTAGGAAATAAATGCGTGGATTTGAACTCAGATCGATCTTTCTAATGTACCCGAATAAACAAGATGAAATGTTTTGTATCAAGGAATTCACATATGAAAACTCAACCAATCAAAAATCATGGCGAAGATAAAAGTTTCTGTGGACAAACAGACAAACGGATAGACGGACGATCTGAGCAAAACATGTATATGCATATATGAGTGTTCGATTATGGGGGTATAAAAATGGGAAGCTAAAGCATACATTACGTAGTGAAATCAATATTTTTAATTTTATTTTTAGATACATCTGGATGATCCTGACGTTGGCTATGACCGGTGCGTTGGTTGCATTCATTGTGGAAGCATTCATAAACTTTTTCAAATATACAACAATCACACAAGTGTCCGCCGAAAACAAACGAAACATCGACTTCCCCGCCGTGACCGTCTGCAACATGAACATGGTCAGAAACACCATTACACAGTGCAATGGCTCGGTCTTCGCAAATCTGGATACTCTTTTTCTGAATTACGGCGAAACTCTGGTAATAGAAGATAGACTAACTTCAGAACTTGGGTATGTGGTTGGAGAAGATCCAAATGGAGAAGAAATGCTGAAATGTCTCTATGAGTATTCTAATAAAGTACACGAAATGATGCCGATATGTACGTGGAAAGGAACTCTTATGAACTGCTCCGATCTCTTTCAGACCACTCTCACTGAAATGGGGGTGTGTTTTACGTTCAATGGGGTGGAGGGACAGAGGTTGCAGGCCTCGTACACTGGACCTGATGGTGGCCTGAGGATGTTTGTTGATATCGGACAACTAAATTATTATTACTCAGCTACTATTCAAGCTGGAATTAAGGTACATTGTCTCCGAAAGACATGGCACACTCATACTACATCACAGTCTTACAATTCTCTTAGCCTTTGCTTTAATTCGAGATTCTGACTCCCACCTAAAAAAAAAAACGCTCAGCGTGCCTTGCTAAAATAATTCATTAGTGAAATTTACATACTCGGCACTAATAGTTATAGCCTTACAAGCCAATTTCTGAAAGTAATTCACTCGAAAAAAAAAAGTTTCAGAAAATGACCTATCAAATATTGCCAATTCTCTTTTAGTCCACAGGTACTTGGGTCGTGGTTTATAAATATTTATAATGTACCTTATTGATATGTAAAAAAAGTAAAGGTATGCAGGCTCCGTAATGGCGTCTGCTCAACTTTGTTTACATGGTCTGTTTTCTTTAAAAAACGCTGCACCTACCGATATTTCTTCACCGGACGCCTCAGACCATTGATTACTAATTGTAAATATCCTCACATCTTGCAAATAATTCCTAAAAGGTGATAAATTTAAAACAATTTTTCAAAATTTTCGTTAACGTGCCCGGAACTAAGTGCAAATACTAAAACCCGAATTAAAATGAAGAATTCCGGCCATTAAGACACTCGTAAATTCTAGAGGCATTCCGAGAAAATTATAAATAGTTATGGAAATTTCAAGTTATATTTAAATTTCTCGGGATGCCTCTAGAATTTTGGAGTGTCTTAATGGCCGGAATTCTTCATTTTGATTCGGGTTTTAGTATTTGCACTTAGTTCCGGGCACGTTAACGAAAATTTTGAAAAATTGTTTAAAAATCACCTTTTAGGAATTATTTGCAAGATGTGAGGATATTTACAATTAGTAATCAATGGTCTGAGGCGTCCGGTGAAGAAATATCGGTAGGTGCAGCGTTTTTTAAAGAAAACAGACCATGTAAACAAGCGAGTTGAGCAGACGCCATTACGGAGCCTGCATACCTTTACTTTTTTTACATATCAATAAGGTACATTATAAATATTTATAAACCACGACCCAAGTACCTGTGTTTTAGTCGCCCGATTGGCGTAGTGGTTAGAGCGTCACGAAGTAAGGAGTTGATCCTTACGTCGCGGATTCGAATCCCACTGTGGGTAACAACCGAGGTCCCGTGTCGCAGTAGGTGCTGGCACGAAAAAGATCCCTCCCTGCTCAATGACCCTTAGTGTCGAGCATAGGACAAAGCTTGTAGCTCTCCACCGGCAAGTAATGGTGTCTACATATGAGTGAAAAATTCTCGAGAGGGACGTTAGACAACATACACATGTACTAACAAACAAACAATCCTCTTTTAAAGCATTCATATACGTGTACATATACTAAAAGTAAGCTAACCACTAACCAGGATCAAATGAAAAAATGATCTATAGAATGATGTGTTTTTGAAACACTACTGACCCCCTATGGCAGCTTTTGGCGACGGCAGAAGTTTTCAAAGGAAAATCAGACTCTGAAATGGGGGTGTGTTTTACAAGAACTGGACCTGATGGTGGCCTGAGGATGTTTGTTGATATCGGACAACTAGATTAATTTCTGTTACACAGATTGGAAAAGAAATGACTTGTCTCAGGAAAATATATATACTTATACCTGTGAAATATGAAAACACCAACAATTTAAATGTTATGGCTAAGTTATTTTTTTTTTTATTAAAAAGTGGTTCAAAATCGAAGGTCAAGGTAAAAGGGTCGTGCATGTTATGCCGTGTATAGCTTTTAGACCCTGCTGAATAGATATATGCATCTACGATTGGTAGTTTACTTTTATCAAATGAAACAAGACATCGTATGGAAGTTTATGGCGAAGGTTGTCGTTTCTCAAATGCAAGTGAAATGTCAAGGTCAAAATTGATGGTATCAAGATGAAGATCTTTTCACAGGGACTACATTTGTGAAATAAGAATGCCCTATTTCCAATTGTTCGAAAGTTATGGTCAAGGTTAAGGTTAAGTTTTTATGAGGCGGGTCAAACTCCTAACTTGAAAAGGTAAAAAATATTTATACCAATTGGAAAGTCGCAAAACTTATGGCTAAAGTTTATTATGTTTTGTAAAAGTGAGTCAAACTCCAAGGTCAGGTGGTCAAGAGGTCAAATTTGGTTGTACCCAAAAGATCTTATCACAAGAAATACACCTGTGAAATATGAAAGCCATATCCCCACCCAGTCAAATGTAAAGGGCAAGGTTATAGTTTTTGCGTACAGACATAAAACAATTACACAGACAGAGGGACGAATAGGGCAAAAACTACATGCTCCTGAATCTTTGATTACGGGGAGCTTTAAATTAAATGCCTACGTGTATTTTGTTTTGAGGCAGATGTAATTTGAAAAAAAAAACAACAACAGGATTCCGGATATAATACTTTATCCCTTGTGGAATAATCATAAAAGCCATTTAATGTATTCTAACAAATACTTAAAAATGAAAGAATAATCGGCAACGTATACAAAAGAATGATCCGGAAAATAATTGAGCACATTTCTATTGAAATACTATAAGTAAATGAACCGGCTCCCCCTTTTCTATGAAAAATTAATGAACTTAAATCCCTGGAGGCATCTTTGGAGTTTATTTTCAGAGGCTGAAATATTAAAACTAATGTTTATTTGCCATCTTTGTGATTTTTTTATTATTTGCAGAGCCATTGTGTACGTTAGTTAAAAAATATAGAACATAATTGATTTATTTTTTTTTATTATGAATTTATCCCTTTTTAAACATATTTCTTCTTCGAAAAATACGTGACTCGTGCATATTTCATTGAAAATAAAATTTGTTCCGCACTCTAATGGATGCAAAGTTCAAATTATTCGAAACAAACATAAATTTACAGGCAAACAACATATACTCTCTCTCTCTCTCTACCAATTTTAGGTACATATTAGCATGATTTTACTGATTTAGACAACATTTTATTTTGTGGGCAGGTAGTTCTCCATGACCCAGGGACGGACCCCCTCCCCTCCATGGGGGGATTTTTGGTGGCTCCTGGATTATCAGCTGAGGCCATCATCAGTAAAACAAGGGTATGATACCGTACAAGTAAATGCGAAAGTTTCAGGGGCGGATTCAGGCTTTAGAAAAGAGGGGGTGTAATAATAAAGTTTACTGCAAGTGCGGAATGCACCCAAACTTTTTTTAAAAAGAAATTGTGTATTTATAGAATAGTTAGTTAAGATATGCCATTATGAATTATTTCACTGCAATTTTATTAATTTGACACATAAAACAAATTAATTTGAGAATGAAATTACATGCATTTTTTTTAATCAATAATAGTTTTTTCCTAATTTAAACTTGTTGATAAAATTTTTACTAACAGTTTTAAGCTAAAAGCACCATTGTTTAACAAATTAAAGATATAAAGAAATTGAAGCACAATTTTACAAAAAATAAGTAGTTCTTTACTGTGTTCTAGTATGGAAATAAAGTAACGGGCCCAGTTCATTACAATGCTTTTTCATGATTTTTTAAATGGTGTACTTGCAAATAAATTCAAAACAAACATGACTTGGGACCATTAATGAATTGAAGAATTAATGGCTAAAAATCAATGTAAATATGTAAAAAACAAAATATTTATATAAATTTTAGTGGAGAAAATGACATATATAATAATATGAAGCTTTCGGTACATTACAAATTTAAAAAAAAAACATTGTTTCTATTTCCATTTACTCGGATACGCCAGGGACCTAGGTATAGTATATATAAGTCACTGGATACTAGTTCTAATCATCAAAATACGGAAAGGACTCGTAAATCATCTTATGTTTAAATTTCATAACAAAGATGCTGTAATTTTGATTCCATTTTGCATCTTAATTTCTTTTACAGAAAAGCTTTCTTGGTGATCCTTATGGTAAATGTTTAAAGGTCAGCGAAAGTGGGAACCCTCTGAAACGGTATTCCTTCTACAGTGAAAAGTCTTGTCGAATGGAATGCATGATAGACCATTTAGTAAGCGGAAACGAAAGCTGTAGAAATTGTCGTCACTTCCTTCATCCAGGTATATTTCTTTGGGCGTCGGAAGCAAACTGAAAGTGGGAGGGGGGGGGGTAAACCAACAGAAAAAAGTAAACCCCAATTTTTATATTGTTTATTTTTGCAAAAAAAGTTGGGGGAGGGGGCTAAGCCCCCCCCCCCCCCCCCCCCACCGTCTAGCCCCCTGCAATCGGAACATCACTCGGCCTTTTTCGTCAAGTCGAGTTTTTTCTCGACTTGACGGAAAAGGCCGAGTGATATTCCGATTGTAGCCCCCTTGTTCCGACGCCTTTTCTTGAGAAATTTTTAAGAAATGTTCCGTTTGTATGTTCCTCCTGTACATTTCATTTTATATGGCGTTTTATGGGTTTTGTTTTGCAAAAGACTCTCTGACAAAAGGACATAAAATGTCGATTGGTTCAGTTCCCTCCATTTTTCATAATTAACAAATAAATGTATCTTGAAGAAAGTGGGAGGGTTCCGTTAGATTTGCTTCTCCCAAAATTTCACTAAAATACACATGAGCGGATTTAGATTTTTCTCGGAGAGGGATGGGGTCGACGACTGTTTTTGCTGTCAAGGTCATTGTATCAACCATAGAACTTACGAAATGATAACTTTAAGTTTGTTTCATCAACTTGTTTGTCAATAAATTGCCTCGTTTTAAAAATTCTTGAGACGAAGACCATTCTCTTGCGTATTGAATTAACTGAGAGATATAAATCCCATATGCAGCTATATTGCTGCATACCATAAATGTCTTTTTCTAGTAAAATATCCAAATACGCCCCAGTATATACTCAGTATGAAGCAAATGTGACAGACTCTGTTGTATCTTTTACAATAAGCTCACTAGGATATATCGTGTCGACATGTGATAATGAAATAATTATATATGAAGATGACGAACAACATTCAACCTCAGAAGTCCATAAAACAATACAAAATTGGAGCAGAGCGAGCACGACCTCCAAAAATCAGAGGTGGGATCAGGTGCCATGAGGAGTGAGCATCTGCTACATTATCAGAATGCGTTTAAAACCAAAAAAACCCCAATGCATTGTGAATAGTTAAAAAATTAATGGAGATGTTGGTATGACCATACATATTTTCTAATCTCAAGCACTGAATTACAATTCAAGAAACCAGCCTATGCAATAGACACACTAATAAAAACAGAAAAAATACAATTAGAAATATTTTATTAAAACAATGGAAAGACTGATAAAAAGCAGTTAAGAATTAAAATTGAATTAAGAGATCATGACACTCTTGAGTTAGATTATGTCTTGTTCCACACATAGAGTCTTATTTGAAACCAAAGAATTTCCTCAGTCTTCCTCTGAAGGATTTCTTCTTTGCTTGAGTGGGTACCTGAACAATCAAATAAAAATTCATATATAAGAGAGAGTCAATCTGATTTTTTTTTTGTACTTTTTTTGCATATCATTGAAACAATTCAAATTACTACATACCATTTCTACTCTTGGTTCACAGTAGTC